TTTTTATTGAATGCTTTTTCTATATCTATTAAAATAATCACATGGTTTTTGTTTTTAATTCTGTTTACAAGGTGAATCACATTTATTGATTTGCATATTTTGAACATAGACCAGTGAAACAGAATAGAGAACTCAGAAATAAAACCATATATGTACAACCAACTGATCTCTAACAAAGTCAACAAAAATACACAATGAGGAAAGAACATCCAATTCAATAAACAGTGCTGAGAAAACTGGATAGCCATGTACAGAAGAATGAAAATGGCTGCATATCTCTCACCATATACAAAATTAAGTCCAGATAAAATATATACTTACATAGAAGACCTGAAGCTATAAAAATCCTGGAAGAAAAATGAGGAAAAATTCTTCTGGCCATTGGCCTAGGGAAGAATTTATGACTAAGATCTCAAAAGTGAATGCAATGGAAGCAAAAATAGACAAGCAAGATTTAATTAAACTAAATAGCTTCTACACAGCAAAAGAAATAATCAACGGAATAAGCAACCTACAGGATGAGAGAACATGTTTTCAAACTGTCATCTAACAAAGGACTAATATCCTGAATCTATTAAAAAAAAAAAAAAAAAAACAACTCAGACAACAAGAAAAAAATAACCCCATTAAAAAATGGGAAAGGGACATGAACAGACATTTCTCATAAAAAGACATACAAACAACCAGAAAGCATGTGAGAAAATGCTCAACATCACTAATAATCAGAGAAATGCAGATCAAAACCATAAGATACCATCTCACACCAGTCAGAATGGCTATTCAGAACAGCTATTATCAAAAAGTCAAAACACAAACAGATGTTGGCAAGAATATGGAAAAAAAAGAAAATGCTTCTATTCTCTTGGTGAGAATGTAAATTAGTACAACATCTATGAAAAACAGTATGGAGACAACTCGAAGGACTACAAATAGAACTACCATTCGACCTAGCAACACCACTGCTATCCAAAGCACTACAAATAGAACTAACACTCAACCCAGCAGCACCAGTACTACCCAAAGGAAACAAAATTGTTATATCAAAAAGACACCTGCTCTTGTGTATTTATGAAAGCACTATTTAAAATAGTAAAGTCATGAAATCAACCTAAGTGTCTATCAATGTATGATCATATAAAGAAAATGTGGTATATTTATACCATGGAATACTTTGCAACCATAAAAAAGAATAAAACCATGTCTTTTGCAGCAGCACGGATGGAGCTGAAGGCCATTATCCTGTGTGGAATCACTAAGAAACAGAAAATAAAATACCACATGGTCTCACTTATAACTGGGAACTAAACAATGGGTACACATGGGCATACAGAGGGAAATAATAGGCAGTGGAGATTCCAAAGTGTGGAATGATGAGAGTTGAAAGCTAACGATTCAATACAATGTTTGTCATTCAGGTGATGAGCACACCAGAATCCCAAACCTCACCTATAGGGCTCATGCAATATATCCATATAACAAACCTGCACACAAACGCCCTGCATCTTAATAATAAGAAGAAAGATTACAATTATATGCTTATATAGCGCACTTACAATGAATGGAGCTTGCAGGACTGGAAGGTGGTCTGTGTAATTCAGCGAGTAAGGGGTCAGTGAATGTAAAAGCCTAGGACAATATTATACACTACTATAGACTTAATAAACACCATATACTTAGGCTACAGTAAATTTATTTAAAAATAATTTTATTTTCTCAACAATAAATTAACCTTACTCCTTTACTGTAGCTTTTTACTTTACAAATTTTTAATTTTTTAACTTTTCATCTCTTTTGTAATAGCTTGAAACACAAACACATTGTAGAGCTATACAAAAAGATTTTCTTTTTAATATCCTTATTCTATAAGCTTTTTACTATTTTTAATTTTTTTCTATTATTTAAACTTCTTTACTGAAAACTAAGACACAAACACACATGCTAGCCTAGGCCTACACAGAGTCAGGATCATCAATATCACTGTCTTCCACCTGCACGTCCCGTCCCACTGGAAAGTCTTCACAGGCAATAACATGCATCAGCTGTCATCTCCTTGGATAACAATGTCTTTTTCTGGAATACCTCCTGAAGGACCTGCCTGAGGCTATTTTACAGTTAATTTTTTTCATAAGTAGAAGGAATATACTCTAAAATAACTATTAAAAGTATAGAAGAGTAAATACACAAACAGGTATTACCACTTATTATTATCATCAAGTACTATGAACTGCACATAATTGTATGTACTATACTTTTACATGACCAGCAGCATAGTAGGTTTGTTTACACCAACGTCACCACAAACATGCGAGTAATGCATTTGTGCTATGATTTTACAATGGCTATAATGTCACTAGGTGATAGCAATTTTTCAGCTCCATTATAATCTTATGGGGACACTGTCATAAATTGTTGATGGAAACATCGTTATATGGTGCATGATTGTATAATAAAACCTGTTCCAATTTGGATCATTGATCAGAGACACCAATAGACACAATGTAATCAAGTTGTGTAGACTCAATGTCAGCCTTCTAGACACAAATGAAACTACACCCAACTTAGCTCAAGAACACTTTCTAAAGCAAGACATTCCAGTTCCCCAATCTATGGGAACAAGGAGAACCACAATAAGCATAGAAGAAAATCGTTATGTCTGAACTTGTCAGAAGAAAAATCCTATCAAGGAACGTTTTTGAGAACTTGAATTCTAGGGAAGCCCATTGGAGGCCACAGCCACTCCCGAAATAGAGGCCACCGCTTGCTGACATGTGGTAAGTTTGCATCTCCACTCACTTTCTGTCAGTAGATGTCACTTGAACAAATTTTCTCATGGTCCTGGCCAGTCACCTGGAGCGTGGGGGCATGTCTTGCTTTGCATATGCCTCTGTCAAAATGCATATCATACAATTATGTCATGGATTGATGTCTTAGGTGTTACAGAGTATGTGTCATGGAGTGAATATGAGTGAATATTTGTGTATTCTCCAAAGCACACTCCCTCTTTCTCTCTCTCATACACACACACACACAAACACACACACACTCCAAGGAAAGGCCATGTGATACCTTGATTTTAAACTTCCAGCTGCCAGAACTGTGAGATAATAAATTTTTCTTGGTTAAGCCACCCAGTGAGTGGTATATTTTTATGGCAGCTCAAGCAGACTAATACAATATGTTATTCTGCTCCTGACCCTACTTACTGAGCTAGACCTTCCATGGTCCCCATGTCTCTCCCAGGGGACACTGTATGCAGCCCAGAGCTATGTCATTTTTCAGTACTCAAAAGTAGTGCCCTCCTACATTTACTTGTTGTTTGTTTTCTTGGAGTGCCTGGTAGGTATCTTCCTTTTCTTTGAACTGTAAATAGAAACAATCGTTCTTTTCAAAGTAGAATTTTCTTTCTGAACAAGCTCATTAGAATAATTTCCTACCATTGATCTTCTGGTACGGCAATTTCATCAAAAAATCATTTGAATAATTATGTTAGAATACACAGCAACTGTATTTCTTAGGTTAGCATAGTTTGCAAACAAAAGACATATGTTTTCCTAATAAACTCGGTGATTTTTTTTTTTAATTCCCTACAAATCACTGCTAACAGCCAAGGAAAGGGAAAGTAAGGCTGTATTCTTGAAGATGTGGGAGATATAGTTCCCCGTATGTATATAAAATTTGTTTGAACTCTAATATATTATATTTAAAATTCATGTTATTTGCTATTATGTAATATATTCTCATTTCTTTCAATAGACAAAAAATACTTTAAATTGATCAATAAATATATGTCATGGTTATCCCAGAGCTTAATGCCACCCTTCATACATTCCTACACTACTACTTGGCTTATTCCCCTTTAGGAGATAGAAATGTGTTGCCAGTATCCTCAGGGAAATAGGGACACTTTCAAGGCTGAGACAGCAGGGCTCATGAAGAACTGGAACAATATCAACCATTGCTGAGACTGCAACGACAACCATAATGACCACAAGGAGGCAGCAGATCTAATGATACGGAAAACCACACCCTTTAGAAATTGGTGAGCCCCTGCAGCTGTCATCTCTGTGCCTCCCACATGCCATTAAGAGAATATAGAATTAATGCATTTTTTATCTGAATGAAGGTGTTTTGCTTTCTGTTTACTGGGTTTTCTTTTTCCAAAAAATATATTTTTTCAATAAAATCTTGCAGAGAGATTAAAAAAGAAAAAAAGCAACATAAGATTATCTGCATTTTTATTTGGTGGAAAGCAGCAATTCATTTTAGGAAACATACCACCATATAATAGGAATAGAGAAGGTAAGAACGCTAAATATAGACAGAAGTAAATCACGGGCAAACCTAAACAACTAAGAAAAAAATTGCAATGAAATTAAAAGAAGAAAGATGCCCAGGGAGGCAGAAATAGATTTTCCTGCCCTCCTAAGTCTAAAGGGCACAATGAGATACAAAACACAAATGCCCGTAGATGGCAGAAGCTATTTACCTAAATCAGGACTGAAGCTTCATAGCGTTCCTCATGCTATCCTTCAAGCTATCCTCATGGCATAGCTTAGGCGCTCGGCCCAGATCCTAGGCATTTGAAAGTCCAAGTTGCAGAATCAATTTTAACCTTTAAAAGCAAGCTTCTTCAAAATTCCATTCTATAAAAGTGAGGTTTGCTACTATTCAAAGTTTTATTTGCTTCTTAAAGAAAAGCCAGAATGTTCCTACCACTGTGTTGATAAGCAAAGTTAATGTTGCCTCTATCAGGGTCTTTTTCTCTTTTATTTATGTCTCTGCATTTTATGTTAAGGGATTTTTAATGTCTAATAATCCTGGGATTATCATTAATATTTAGTAGGATAAAATCTGAGATTCAAGCAAAGGAAAATGGCTCCAGTTCCTGTTTTTAAATATTTCTTCACTTCACTCTCAACTAAGCCTGATAACCCAGAATTTCATGTTATTTATTCAATATCTTCAGAAAAATAGTCTTTTTCCCCAAAAGTGGTTGGAAAGGAGTGGGCACCTGACTTTTCCAGGTCAAATGGGAAATCTTAGGGTATAACTGCAATTTATTAAATTATCCTTTGTATTTTCTGTATAAAATCTCCTACCTCTACCCTCTCTCTAATCTTCTGAGGTACCAGGTATCCTATTTACTGAGATTTTTTTGTGCAGCTGAATTTATGTTGGCATTTGCTTCTGTGGGTCTTTAGAATTTGTTTTCTCCAGTTCATTTAAGTCAGTTACCACTTGTTCATTCACTTGCACTTCCCAAACCATCTCACTTGCTGTTATCCTTTGCCTGTTCTATGTGTTGTTTGGGGTTCATAACTTTTTAAAACATTTTTACTCTCATTTCACCAGGTACTCAGAAAGGAACAGAGAAGTATGTTTCCAATTCACCATACTTAATTATCAGCCTAGCCTTCACTGATTTTTCGGAGCGATTATAAGGTACCCAGGGGCAGAGTTCCCATCTGTCTTGTTCATGTCTCTATATTTCTCTAAAATATAGTGAGTACTCATTAAGTGTGTTCATCAAATGAAAGGGAAAAATAGGAAGAAACTAAAAAAGTGACACAAAAGGACAAAAATCTAGCATTTCACCATGGGCGGGGGGGCAGTGTCTCTATTCATAGCTAATCTTCAAGGTTACTTCAAAACCCTGGGAAAATGTCTGGTAAGAGACCTGATTGGCTGATATCTGGAAGAGAGATTTTAACTTCGTGATAGTGTTTTTAGTGTTACTCTAAGCCCAGGGGAGTTTCTTGAAGCAAAAAACAAACGAAAGAAAAAACGCATTCAGGAAATAATTCTTTGCTAATAAGGATGCTCCTTGAACATTTATTAATAATCCTCTGGATGCAGGTGACATGTGAGTCTTGGGAGTTTCTGAAACTGTCATAGAAAATTCTAAAGGGGAGGAAATTCTGTGAGGACAGGGGGTGAGGCTTTATCTGAGACTATGAGAAGAGGAAAACAGAAGGAGAAAAGCTAGAAAAGGAGGAAGAAAAGGAAAGATACCGAGGCAGGGCTGGGAAGTTTGGGGATATAGTGTCTATCACAGCTCTGAAAAAGGTGATCTAAAGATAACCTTAACCACCTTCTTTTCTCTTTCCAAACAGGGGTCAGTGGTCAGCAGCTGAATCAGAGTCCTCAGTCTATGTCTATCCAGGAAGGAGAGGATGTCTCCATGAACTGCACTTCTTCAAGTACATTTAACACCTTGCTATGGTACAAGCAGGACGCTGGGGAAGGTCCTGTCCTCTTGATAACCTTATATAAGAGTGGCGAATTGACCAGGAATGGGAGACTGACTGCTCAGTTTGGTATAACCAGAAAGGACAGCTTCCTGAATATCTCAGCCTCCGTGCCTGGTGATGTAGGCACCTACTTCTGTGCCGAGCAACACAGTGCTCCCCAAGCACCTGCAGCCTGTACTCAAACTTGCAGCTGGGACTGCAGTCTCTATGCTGCCTTCAGCTCTTAGTCCTCTTGGCATGAAATGTGATTATGCATGCCACCTATGACCCTGTTATTCCATTACTCTGTTATTCCAACTCTCCTTTATCCAAGGATTTGTTCCTCCAAAGATTGTGCTCTTTGCTTGACGAACTTGCCCCGTCGATTCATTTTTAATGTATATAATAGATTTTCTTTGTTATTTCCGTCAAGATATGAGGAGAATTGATCAACACACAATTACAGAATATTTTAATAAATATCTCTTAAAATGGATTGATATCAATAAAGAAAAAATGAGAGTCCAGAATAAAATAAATCCATAAGTCTATGGCCAATTTATTCCAACAAGACCATTCAATGGGAAAAGAATAGTCTTTTCAATAAGTGGTGCTGAGACCACTGGACAGCCACAGTTGGATCTCTGCCTTACACATGTACAAAAGTTAACTCAAATGGATTAAAGATTTAAATGTAAGATCTGGAAGTACAAATGCTTAGATGAGAACATAGTTGTAAATCTTAGTGACCTTGGACTATGCAACAGCCTCTTACATACAACACCAAAAAAAGCAACAAAAGGAAAAATAGATAAATTAGGCTTTATCAAAATTAAAATCTTTGTGCATCAAAATTCACAAGATTTGCCACAAAGGAAAATGAAAATATAACCCACATAATAGAAGAATATATGTGCAAGCCATGTATATCTAATAATGATCTAATATCAATAATATATTTTTAAACCCCTGCAAATTGAAAATAGGACAAATGCCAATTTTAAAATGGTCAAATGATTTAAACAGTCATTACTCCAAAGAAGACACACAAATGGCTAAAAAGCATGTAAAAGGATGCTCAACATCATTATTCATTGGGAAAATGCAAATTAAAACCACAATGAGCTGCCACATCACACCCAGGAGAATGTTAATAATTTTTAAAAAGGGAAGAAGAAGAAAGAGAAATGGAAAATTATGTGTTGATAAGGATGTGAGGAAACTGGAATCCTCATCTGCTACTGGTAGGAATGTAAAATGCTACAGACACATTAGAAAATAGTTTGGCAGTTTCTCAAATGACTAAACGCAGAGTTACCATTTGACCCAGCAATTGCAGTCCTAGACATCTACTTAAGAGGTCTAAGATATGATTTATTTCATTGGCCAGAACCACATCATATGGCCAGCACTAATTGCAAGAGAGGTTGAGGAAGGGAGCATTTAATTTGTCTAGCCCCTTTCTGAGACATGAAAGATGTCAATTGCAGATAAGTGTTGGGTTAACTATCCAAAAACATCTGCCACGTCATACTAGGTCCTCATTTCCCAGAAAAGATTCTGATGATACATTTTGATATTCTTATTACTGTTATTATCCTAACAGCATGTGCCAAAGGAAGCTGAAATCTGTTAAGAGCTCTATAGAGCTGTTCAAATGTAGTATTGGTTTTGCTCCAAAAAATATACTGTAGATTTTCTTCCTTGCAAGTGTCCTGCGGGAATCAGTAGCTCTCAACAGGCATCAGCTGATGTTTCAGAGGGAAAATGGTACACTGCCCCTGACAGTGATATGGGCAGTTCCAGGCAATTCATAAAGCTAATAGATTTAATGTCTCACAGAGATCATCATGTTCTTAAAAGTCAATATGGAATTCACTTCCCTCTCCCTGAGGAGCAGTCCCCTGAAAACCCAGCACAATATTTCAGTGGGTCTCACATGTGTATATGATATAACCCTCAAAATCCTAGGAATGTTTTAATTGAGGTAATACTTTTACAGGTATTTATAGGATCTCCATCACAATTGTCTTACAATTAGGAACTTAAAAAATGGGTATTAGCTAACCACAGATAAACATGTTTTCTTCTCCCCTCCCCATTCCCATTCAGCTGTGTGTAGACAAATCTACCATCTGAACTTTCTCGGTGTTGAAGCTATAGATTATTTTATAGCAGGCTTTCTATTTTATTTTATTTTTAACTTTTATTTTAGGTTCAGGAGTACATACGAAGTTTATTATGTAGGTAATCTGCATGGCACAAGGTTTTGGTGTATGGATTATTTCATCACCCAGGTAATAATACCTGCTAGGTTTTTCAATACTCACTTTCCTCTAACCCTTCATCCTCAAGAAGGCCTGGGTGTCTGTTGTTCCCTTCTTTGTGTCCATGTGTACTCAAGGTTCAGCTCCCACATATAAGTGAGAACATGTGGTATTTGGTTTTCTGTTCCTGTGTTAATTTGTTTAGAATAATGGCCTTCAGCTCCATTCATCGTGCTGCCAAAGACATGATCTCATTTTTCCTGATGGCTGTGTAGCATTCCATCATGTATATGTACCACATGTTCTTTATTCAGTCTACCATTGTTGGGCATTTAGGCTGACGCCATGTCTTTGCTATTGTGAATAGTGCTGCCATGAACATACATGTGCATGTGTCTTTATGGTAGAACAATTTATATCCCTTTGTGTATATACCCAATAATGGGATTGCTGGGTTAAATAATAATTCTATAGAAGGTTTTTTAAAGTGTAGGCTAGTATTGAAAGTAAAGATTGCCCTATTCATTTCTGTATGCACTTCTGTTCTTGGCACAAAGAAGATAGTCAAATAAAAATGTTACATGAGAGGCTGAGTGTGGTAACTCATGCCTGTAACCTCAGCACTTTGGGATGCCGAGGTGGGTGGATCACAAGATCAGGAGATTGAGACCATCCTGGCCAACATGGTGAAACCCAGTCTCTACTTAAAAAAAAAAAAAAAAATAGGTGGGCTTGGTGGTGCATACCTGTAGTCCCAAATACTCAGGAAGCTAAGGCAGGAAAATTACTTGAACCCACAAGGCAGAGGTTGCAGTGAGCCGAGATTGCGCCACTGCACTCCTGCCTGGCAATAGAGCGAGACTCCGTCTCAAAAAAAAAAAAAAAATGTTATGTGAATTAAGGTGCAAGATGGTAATTAATTATCTGTGTCTCTGTGCCACCCAGAAATGCAGAAGGAAACTTATAACCAAAAAACAGTGGATAAAATTATCTGACCTTCATGGGAACAGTATAAACTATATTCTTAAGCAGTAATAGAACATGGCATTAGTTACTTTATTGTGGTGTTGGCAGATTATCAGTCTCTTACTTCATGTTTCTGGGTTTTGTTTCTTGCTTAAGATCTAGAGAATTAGGCCAAATTATCATTGTCACAAAAAAAGTAGTCTTGGAAACCAAGTGATCCATTACTTCATCTCCACTGGGCAACTCAGCTTTTCTGGAATGCAAATGTGTTTGTCTTCACCTTGAGATCTGAACTTTCTAATTAGTAATTCTTTTTCTTAGTGATTATAAAGATCAAGCAAGAAACTACTAGTCTTCCCAGACTTGGACACTACCTACATAGATTATATGTATTTTACTAAAAATAGACATTCCTAGACGATGACAAGAAAACTATGTAATAACATTTATGGAATGGAATGCAAGCAAAGCTGTACTCCAAGTGTATTAGCGAAGACCAAACTATTCTAACAAATATATGCCAAATGTTCAGAGGCTTAATGAACAAAGCTTATTTGTCTTTCTTGTGAAAATCTGGAGCAGGTATTCCAGTTCAGCAGATGACTCTGCCTTACACGGTCTTTGAGGAACTGAGGTTATTCTCATTTGGGAACTCTGCCATTTCTCAGAGACTTGCCATCATCTGCAGGGTCATGGCCTGGCTATGCCAGGTTTCAGTTAGCAAGGAGATGAAAGCATGGGCATGGAGCAGGCATGACCACTCCCTTAAGAATCCTGGACAAGAAACAATAGAATTACTGACTACTGGAATTATGGACAGCTTTGGGTAGCCTGTTCTTCAATGGTGAGACAATTGTGGAAGTATCTACCATCATTCGTAAAACACGTGGACACAAGTTTTCAGCTATTCTGCACCAGCTCACAAGATGGCAGTGTTCTATTTTGAATGATTCCCATGGGTGATGGAGTGGGAGGGATTTGAATTTGAATAGAACCAAATGACACTTTATTTTTTAATAGTTGGCTGAATAGCCAAATTGCTGTTTCCCTTTTTCTGAGAGAGAGAGAGAGAGAGAGAGAGAGAGAGAGAGAGAGAGAGAGAGAGTGTGTGTGTGTGTGTGTGTGTGTGTGTGTGTGTGTGCGTGCTCATACACATGCACATGCTAGGGGTGGAGAGTGATGGTTCAAAAAGAAAAGGAAGCGCTTAGGGCAGTGAATCACATTTTGCCCAGGAAACCACACTTGATAATTGAAGGATGATGAAGTATCCACAGGCTTCATTACTGATCTTTTGGCTTCAACTGAGCTGTAAGTAGGGTTACTACGAAGAGTCAGGGGCAACCAGGAAACCTGAGGATTGATCCTCAGAACACTAACAGGGTAAAGCAGACTTCATTCTGACTTATCTGGGAGGCCTATGGTTTCAATGGTGAATAATTATTACATTCTTCTTCACAGGGGTGAGCAGTGAAGACAAGGTGGTACAAAGCCCTCCATCTCTGGTTGTCCATGAGGAAGACAGCGTGACTCTCAACTGCAGTTATGAAGCAGCTAACTTTCAAAGCCTACTATGGTACAAGCAGGAAAAGAAAGCTCCCACATTTCTATTTATACTAACTTCAAGTGGAATTGAAAAGAAGTCTGGAAGCTTAAGTAGCATATTAGATAAAACAGAACATTTCAGCATCCTGAACATCACAGCCACGCAGACCAGAGACTCGGCCACCTACCTCTGTGCTGTGGAGGCACAGTGCTCCCTAGTCACCTGCAGCCTGTACTCAAATTCTACAGCTGAGGCTCTGCAACCATAAGATGGGGAACTTGCTATATTGAGCAAGCCCTAAAAAAAAAAAAAAAAAAAAAAAAAAAAAAAAAAACTCTAAGGAAAAGCAGTTATTGGTCAAGATTTTTGTGCCCATGTTGACAATTACTTTTGCAGTTTACTGAGTCCTAACTCAGATGAGTCTTATCACTGCATTCACCACCTTCTCTGTGATTTTTCTGTGGGATTCAGCATAGCTAATATTTCTAGAGGGTCACTCAGGATACTAACTCCATTACCACACCATTAGAAAGCAAGCTCTTTTATCAGGATTATATGGGCAACTCATATGTGCACTACACATTAGGGAATCTGCCTAACAGCTAACAGCTATGGATGTTTTATCTTCTTCCACAGAACAGATACATTTATAAATACAGTTCTGCCTGTAACATTTTTTTGCTGGACCTATTAGCAAAGAACAAAGGGTAGGAACAAGTAGGTATCATTCATTACCTGATTCAAACAAAAGGTTTTCATTCACAATTTTATTATTCTTACTTACTATCTTCATTTTAGGATCATTGCCTATGCTAGGCACTCCATTAAAGTGGTGATAAAATTTTTTCAAGATGTTACATATTAATTTGAATATTTAGTACCTTAAGCAGCCTACCAAAGGAAAGGAGTTAGCTGAAGTAAGTTATATGAAGCTAACATAAACTCAGCCTACTTATGTTGTGATACATTCTTTCAATTATGTAATCACATATATAGTACTTACAAAGTGCTTGCAATGGAAGTACTGTTTATCAAAAGCAAGTACTATGTGCCTTGTATTTTGCAAATATCACCTCACTGAATTCTCAAAATAACGATGAAGGATCATCAATATTACTTTCAGTTAACATATTAGGCAATGCAAACTTAGAAAGGTTAAGCCCCCTTCCTCACCCTGTACCCCAGACAAATAGCTATCAGAATCTGAAATCAGGTCTATCTGACTCCAAAGTCTATACTTTCTCCATTACATGCCCCAGTGTTAAACATCACCGAGGAAAAAATTTACCCACAGTGTGACCACAATTATGTACAAAATATGTAGACAAAATACTGAAATAACATGTGTTTAACATGTAAATAAAATAACATTTACAATAACATGTGAATAAAATGACTCAAAAATGTTTGCAACAGTATGAGTTATCTTTGAATATTAGATCTAATACTGTTCATTGTTTTGCTCCTTTATAATAATCTTTATTTTTCAAATTATCTACTATTAACTCAATACCAATCATTATTTCAGAAAGAAAAATACACATTTTAATACACCAAAATCCAAGGAGGCTGAACTGTATCATATGATTATTATCTGACACTCATAGTAGCTTAATTACAGTGAGGAATAGACACAACTCTACATAGCCAAATGATATAGCATTAAAACAAGGTTTTTTATTGCTAGCTCTTCAAATCACTGTAGACTAATGCTCTCTTTAATTGGGAATGTTTTAAAGTTACAAGAAGACCTGTTTCTCCTGACAAGTTATTTGAAGGACTGTCCGATGAGTAGAATGCTTTACTATCCCATCTCTGCATAGGAGAGTATAGGCAGTAAAGGCTACCTGTGTGTGCTTGTGAGTTTGTTAGAAAAGTCATTGCAAATTGAGCATGGTTTAGGTTTCACTGCCTGGGAAATGGGGAGATAGCCTAAGAAAAGGGCAGCTAAGCATTCAAAGAGGAGGGGAAGAAATGGTATAAAAATTAATAGAACGTATCCTGCCATTTTTAGCCCGCACAGACTTCTGTCCATTTTTCTTTCTCTCCTTCTTTCTATCTACACCAAAACCCAGAAATCACATAGTGGACGTAAGAGGAAAATCTGACCGTCATTTATTTTAGGCTAAAAAATAGAGTGGAAAACCCTATGTAAGACACTTGTTGTTTCTGGCTCTGTGACTGGAAGAGTTTATGATTTAGAAGCCAGAGATGTGGCTGTCTTTGAGGGGAATGTGCAGATGGAAGGGGGAAAGTTTCTTCTTCACTCTTTATTGTTTTCTTTCCTAAGGAGAACCAAACAATTTACACCTCAAAAGATTAACCTCTCACCAAAATAACATGTATTCTAAGACTAAACATTCATTTGTCACAAAAGAAAAAACAAATTTAAAAAACATCTGTAACCTCAACCTACAGACATTACCACTATTAACTATTTAGCATTTTACTTTCCATTTCATCTGTGTCAATGAATATGAAAAAATAAGTCTAGAGAGATGTGAGGAATTCAACTTATTTCAAACAAAGAGTGTTTCTCAAAGTCACTGCAAAAAGAGGTGTTTTTGTTCCTTAAAAAAGTCTACATGGTTAAGATCCTCCCACTTTTGACCTGTGAGTTGTGATAAAAAGCTTCCAGAAAACTCATCTCAGTAAATTGATTATGTAATGCTACCAGTTTGAAGCAGTCACTGAATAACATAAGGTCATAAATCAGGAATCCAGAAGGAACAATGAATAGCAACTTTATCTAGCACTGGCTCTCCAAGGTAGCAGCCCTATCCTGTACCTAGAGTGGCCCTTCTGGAGAAGGTGGCTGGTTTGACCTATGACTGATGAGTGTTTTATGTTGCAGGGCCTGGAAGAGAAGCTGGATCGAGCCCCAGGAGACAGAAATATCTGAAACAGAAGGGAAGGCTGTGCACCTACTTTGTAACTATGGTACATCATCTGGGAGCTATCTTGATCTCTACCAGTTTTGACACTGTCCAAACCAGGCACCAGAATACATTCTTTACAGAGGGTGGGGATACTCTGGAAAAGGAGATGCCGATTTTGCCATAGGAAAGTTTTATTCAAAGAGTACAGCAAATGCAACAAATCTGTACATTGGAAATCTGGTTCCTGAAGACACTGCCTTATATTACTGAGTGCTGAGAGGCACAAACAGAATGCTTCCCAGGGTTGTCATACAAAAACACCAGTGCACAGGAGGAAGGAGAGTGTTTGTTGTAACCACACTGATTTTTTTTCTTGCAAAGACATCATAGTAACTGGGAGACACTGGATCAGGAGAATTATGCTTTACTAATAGCTATGTAATAATAATTGTAGGCAAATAGCTTAAGCTTTTAGTGTTTCCATTTTTTTAAATGAGATAACAACTCTAATTTGCAAGCTTTTATGAGACATGGCTTTAACACTTGGCTTAAATGCCTAGCATGTCCTACATGCTCAGCAAATGGCAGGTATCTTTTCTTACTCTCTCTCTCTCTCTCTAACTACTTTAACCTCAAAGGAACCTTCTCTCACTATCTGAGAATCTTCTATACACTCCTGCAGGTAAAATAGTAATAATAACCCTAAAAACATACATCCAAGACCTAGATAGAGAAGGCTTCTTTGCCCAGGGATTATTGGTCATTGTTCCAGGCTTTTAAAAGTGCATGCTCAGCTGGACATGGTGGCTTATGCCTGTAATCCCAGTACTCTACTAAAAATACAAAAAAATTAGCTGGGCATGGTGGCACATGCCTGTAGCCCCAGCTACTTGGGAGGCTGAGGCAGGATAATCACTTGAACTGGGGAGGTGGAGGTTGCACTAAGCCAAGATCCCACCACTGTACTCCAGCAATAGAGCAAGACCCTGTCTCAAAAAAAAAAAAAAAAGAAAAAAAAGTGCATGCTCAGCAAATGCAACAATTAGAGGGAAAAGGGGCCCTGAGACACTAGCTCCTGAGTTCATAGCCCTGGACAGTTGGGAATTTGTCATGATCTGAACAAGAACAGGAGAGGGTCCCTCACAAGACTAAGGAGAAGAGAAGGACATTTAGCATTAGGTGGGTGGTGGAAGAGAACAGAGAATTCTTGGGAAGACTACAACCATGGTCCTGTGTCAGCTCTGACTCCCTAGATGGAGTTGGGAGGCCAAGTGAGGCAGTGGGTCCTCAGCCTACCTGGCAGAGCAGGAGGGCATCTGCCACCTGCTGCACTGGTTTAAGCCACACTCCTAACAGAATCCTATCATTTAATCTGGATCTGAGCAAATCTTTGTTTGGACTGGTGATAGATGAAAGGTAAAAGAGGAAGGAAGATTTAGAGCCTTATTCCATACAGCTCCACCTCTGTGGATTTGCAGGGCACCACCCCGGCAGCTTCTCTCACAGGTTGTTGAGCGCCTGTGGCTTTCCCAGGCACAGGGTGCAAGCTGTCAGTGAATCTACTATTCTGGGGTCTAGAGGACAGTGGCCCCTTTCCCACAGCTCTGCTAAGCAGTGCTCCAGTGAGGATTCTGTGTGGGGCCTCCAACTCCTATTTCTCCTCCACACTGTCCTAGTAGAGGTTATTTGTGGGGGGCTCTGCCCCTGCAGTCGTCTTCTGCCTTGCCACCCAGGCTTTCTCATACATCCTTTGAATCTAAGTGGAGGCTGCCAAGCCTCTTTCACTCTTTCATTGTGTGTGCCTACAGGCTTAACACCACATGGAAACTGTGGTATTATGGCTTGAACCCTCCAAAGTGGCAGCCTGAGATGTACCTGGGCCCCTTTGAGTCATGGCCAGAGTGGCCTGGATGTGGAGAACAGTGTCTTGAGGCTGTGCAGGGCAGTAGAGTCCTGGGCCTGACCATTCTCTCCTCCTAGGCCTCAAGGCCTGTGATGCGAGGGACTGCTGCAAAGGTCTCTGAAATGCTTTGAAGCCTTTTCCCCATTGTCTTGACTATGAGTATTTGGCTCTCTTATGCAAATATCTCTAGCAAAAGGCTGCTTCAGTGGCTTGCTTGAATTCCTTTCCTGAAAAGTCGTTTTCTTTCTCTGCCACATGGCTAGGCTGCAAATTTTCCAAACTTTTACACTTTACTTTTTTAAATATAAATTCTAGCTTTAAGTCATTTCTTTGCTACTGCATCTGAGTATAGGTTATTAGAAGCAGCCAGGTCACATCTTGAATGCTTTGTTGTTTAGAAAATGCTTCCACC